GCTGTTCCCCCAGCCCCCTGGGGCCGCCCCCCAGCCGCTGGCTTCAGCTGCAGCAGCCGTGGTGGCTGATTTTGCCCACCAGCAGAGCTGGGGCTGAGGCAGCAGCAGGAGGAGGTGGAGCAGGAGGTGCCTCCCTCCTTCCTACCCCTCCACCCTGGTCAGATGGAGGCCCAGCCGGGGCTCTGCACTCCCCCCGCCCTGCCTGTACCCATGGGGATACGAGACATGCTTGGGGAGGGAGGGGGCATAAAGAAGGAGGAAGCGCGAGCACCACCAACAGCCACTGCCCCTACCCGTGCGGCACTAATGGCCACGTTCCCTAGAGGGTGCAGCCTGGCTCTGGGGAGTGCGGGGGCAGGGTGGTGGAAAGGGTGTGGGTGTGGTGGGGTCATGGGGCAAGAGGGTGTTGGCATGGGCTGTAGGGGTCAGAGGTTAAAGGGTCAAAGGGCATGGGGGTAGGGGTGGGGATCAAAGGGTGTTAGGCACTGGAGAACAAGGGACTGGGGCTGAGGGAGAACAGGGGTTAGAGGCCAAAGGGCAAGAGGGGGTAGGGTGCAGTGGGTCAGTGGTTATTGAGCCAGGTATGGCACAGCTCCTGCTTCTGTCTCTGGAGGCAGCAGATGTGAGCAGGGTCGGGAGGGTGGGGGGATCACCAGGTGACTGGGTTACTGGACAAGTAACATTTTATTTGCATATTTGTTATACAAATAATGAATATGCAAATATGCAAATAAATTGTTGCCAATCTGCCAAAAGTTTGTGACTGGGTTTGCTGGTTCCCAGTATAAAAAAGATTGGGAGCCACTGCCCCAAGGTGACTGACTGGCCTCCACTTTCAACTCTGCTACTCTCCAGGTACACAGGAAAACCTGAGGAACATTTGAGTTTCATTTGCTGTGTGGCCAACCTGGTAAGCAGACCTCAGAGCAGGCAGCACCTCAGCAGCACACCAGACTATGAATGCCCAGGGTCGCAAATGAGCTCCAGCACGGAGCGTGCAGGAGATCCTGGACCTGATTGCTGTGTGGGGAGTGGAAGCAGTTCAGGCAGAACTACAAAGCAGCAAAAGAAACGCTGCTATCTCTGCCAAGATCGCATAGGACATGGTGGAAAAATGATCTGGCAGGGATGTCCCGCAGAGCCACATGAAAATAAAGGAGCTCAGGCAGGCGTTCCAGTAGACAAAGGCGGCAAACAGATGGTCTGGATCAACACAGCAAACATGCCGCTTCTGTGAGCAGCTGAGACCCGACCAGTTTCCCAAAGCAGTCCATGGATTCCTCCCAAGACAGTCCTCTGACAGCCTCAGGCAACAGTGGGGAGGACATGGTGGAGGAGGAAGAAGAGGAGAATGGTCAGCAGGCGAGCAGAACATCCGATCTCACCGACAGCCAGGATCTTTTTAGAACTTTGGAGCCAATCCCCTCCTCGTAGGCCATATTTGCTGCTGGGCCCTGAAGGTGAGGAGGGCACGTCTGGTGAGTTCACATTTGTAATCATTCTACTAGCGGGTTGAGGCAGTCAAGTGTGATCTGTGGCCGCCACTCTGCCTGCACAGCAGGGGCTCCCCGGAACAGTTTGTTAATGTGTCTGGAGATGAAGCGGGAATCCTCCCTGCACATCTCCATAGAGGTCTCATAGAAAAACTCTTTGATCCTTCTCACAAGGTTTCTGGGGGGGCTGCCTTATTCCATCCTCCACGGTAGGACCTTTTCCATGCCAAGCCAGCAGTGAGTGCTCTGGCATCATTGCAGCACAAAGCAGTGCAGCATAAGGCCCAGATTTCTGGCCACATTCACTCAGCATCCGCTCCCTATCTCTCTGTGTGATTCGGTGAAGTCTGAAATCACACATGGCAACATGGATGAAGCAGAGGATACCACAGCAGTGCACCTCCATTTGCTCATCGCCAACAAAACATGATAGTTCATAGCTGCATCATTATGCACGCCCACCAGTCTGTGCTTCTCTCACAGCACCAGAACTGATGTTCCACGGTGTTAAGGGATCAAATGCTGCCAGCATCTGCCAATCGCTCACCTCAAGTACTTCACACAACAGTCTGTTCCTGGCCGCCTCAGATTCTTCCTCCTTCCAGCAGGCCTTGGATAGGCTCTTGGCATATTGCAGCATAAGGCACAAGATGTTTGCTATGATTGCCATAATACGTTGCTGCTGAACGGGTTACTCTGCTATGGCATCTGCATGGATAACCAGGGAAAAAAGGGTGTGAAAAGATTGACTGACATTGCTTTCAAGCTGAGGGGCACGTTGAGTGCATTATGTGATGCATATGACATGAACCCAGAACCAGGCCTAAAGCCTCAAATCACGGATTTTATTCATCTTATGCTCATTGGATGGTTTCTCATCCTTCTGCTGTGGGAACAGACACTATTCAAAAGTTAAAAGTGCACTGCTTTGGTTCCATGGGGCATTGGGAGCCTAACCCAGAATGCAAAGGGGTGGCAGGAATGATGGGATAGCTACCCATAGTGCATCACTGTCAAAGCTGACGGTAGCCATCCTTCTGGGGATGCACTACACCAAACTCTTGTGTACAATGTGGATGCACCTTCGATTTTTACAACATCGGGTGCTAAAAAATCAACTTTATTACATCTGACCTTAGCTCGTAGCTTAGACAAGGCCTTAGGCTATATACAATGCATTTCTGGAAATCCCTCTTTAGTTGTAATGTGCTATGAAGAATATGATCAAGAAAATCAGAGGGAAGATACCATAACTGTAGATGGCTTATACAGGGACAGATAGCTAGCTGGTTGGCAATCAGTGTGTAGCGCAATTGTCAGAACGTCTAACCCAGTGAGAGGGAAAAGGATCATTCTCGGAACTACAAGAAATAAAACTGTAATAGGTGCTCTCTCTTCCTGAACTGGATTCCTTCCAACTTACAACCTGGTTTTCATGTCAAGGACCCCTTGAGCATTCTAGGTTAGACTTGATGCCTAAAGCCTCAAATCACGGATTTTATTCATCTTATGCTCATTGGATGGTTTCTCACCCTTCTGCTGTGGGAACAGACACTATCCAAAAGTGAAGATAAAAATGGGAGAGTTCCTGTAACACATTTCTGAGGAGGCAAACACAGAACATTTGCCTATTAAGAGACTGGAGGGGCTTTCAGTGGCACAGATTGGGCAAATATGGGTGCCAGCTGAACTATCTATTATGTTGCATCAAAGAGCTCGGAGGTGACTCGTGGTCACGTCAAGGAGGTGCACTGCCCTCCTGTGCTGCTGTCAAAATCTTGATTGCTATCTAGGGTGCTCTCTTATGCCCCTTCCCTTTTCTTCTGAGTGGCCATCCCTGCATCCCCTCCCCTTGCAGGCACCAATCGCTTATGAAAGAGCTCAGGTGAATGGTTGGATACTCCTGATCCAATAGCCTGGACAGATCATTAATTCTCGCTTCTTAACCCTGGACTATTAGATCATACGAGCCATGCTGTGTAACATCCTGATGAGGTTAGCTTAATTAGCAATTCGTGACTCAGATGCCCCATTTAGAAAGTGATTGATTCACGGCACCCTTGGAATTCTTCATGGCCACATTGTAAGAAGCATTTGATACTTTGCCATAGTGAAAGGGAGAAGTGATTCTTTGGACAAGCTCAACCACATCCTCTCCCATTTCAAATTATACCGTGTGCAGTAAGAAAACACACCTCGGCGGCAGCTTTGTTGAAAACATGGTTGCCTTGATCAACAAGACTGAAACTTCTAAGGAGCGTTATGACGAAGCAGAGAAAGGAGGACCCAGAATCCCAGGGACTAAAGAAAACCTCTGGGCCCAGCTAGCCCCGCCCTGCTTTACCTGCAAACAAAGCCAAGCCTGGAGGGAGGAGAAAAGAAGGATCCTGGCTCAATTTGGGGCTGATTAGCAAGGAGGCAGGAGCCTGGTTCAGCAATTTAAGAGCATGAACCAGACCCTGTCCACTAGCAGCCATAGGGGCAAGTAGGCCTCTGGGAAAAGGGGGGAACCTACTGAGAAGCCCCAGCTAAGGGGAATTTGGACTCTTCAAGCTACACCCCAAACTTCAGGCCTTGAATAGCGAGTGGTTTGGAGTTCCTGGGTCAGCAGCACAGGGCAGGAAGCCAGCGCCCCCCCCTTTCCACCTGCTTACTCAGCAACCTAGCCAGTAGGCTATTCAGCCACCAAGGACTTGGCCACAGGCATTCAGCCTTGTACCCAATAGATGATCTGCAAAGAAAAGATAAACTAAGCAGGAATCAGTCAACCTCAGAAATGGAGTCAACCAGCCAAGCTCAAATGCACCGTGAAGTCTGGATCATACCATCCTAATGACTAGATACACAGATCGCGATGTCCTTTTGTCTTGCACCTGACCATTCACACCAGTGCAAAGAGGGTGTCTAGCACTGCTCCTGGCATGAGTGTGCAAGCAGAGAGTTTTGGTTTAGGAGCTTTCTGCACATACATTGCAGGAGACTAAATAATTACACATGGTGCAAAGCCGTGGGGAGGGTGAATCAGGCCCATGTATAGTTTGCATCTGGCATTTTCATTATTTGCCTTTTGGTTCCAAGATGGGGCAGCAGTGTCCAGTAAATAATGCAGTAGGGCAGGAAGAGAAGAGACACATAGGCTCCCGTTTCTTCTTTTAAAAACTCTGTTTCAGTCTTTCTTTTCTTTAAATCTGGCCCTTGCAGTTCCCCACCCAAAGCGTCACTTCCTACCTCTCCTGGTGCTTGGTTTCTCTAATCCCCCTCCTTTAATTAGCAAAAGCTTAATCTTCCTCTTTCCTAAATGAAAGCTGTCAGTGCACTGTCTAGAAATAGATGCTGAAAGCGTTTCTTTTCTGTTGACCAGTGTGAGCCGGGAAACTGCTTAACCGTGGTGCGGATACCCTATTTGACAAACAAGAGGATGCATTAAGTAATGTTTTATAGCATCAGGGAGAATATTAAAAAAAAGCCCCCGATGTTAAACCTCATCAGTCAGCATCTTTAATTACAGCTAACAAAAACGATGCCTACTCATCTATTAATATTCTCAGCTGGACATTTTCAGAAAGGAGAGTCAAAACATTAAGCACATTTGAATAGAATTAGTCATACAGACATCAATGACAGCAACTACAACTAATGTAAACCATCAGTGCTATGTATCTGTTAGGGGGAAGTGAGACGGCACATTTCATTTTACGTACCTATGTTTCTTACTGAAATAGGATGCCGAGATAGGATTCGTTCAAGGCTTGGTCAAGGGCAGGGCTGAGGGCAACAGATCAGAGCAAATAAACAGTACAGAGTTTTGAAGGGCTTTCAGGAGGAAGAGAAAGCTTGAAGAGGGTGCATGTAGGAAAACCCAGGATTTTGAATTACATAGTAAAGACAACTGTAGGATCTTGGACATTGCTGTCTGTTATTGGGGGTGTACAGCCCTCAGCCCCTGGAGGGTCTCATCATCGGGCTTAGACCCCCGCACTTCTACACCTCTTATCTACCCCGACACCAGTCTTCCCCGTGCCCTCAACCGGGTCCTTTTGCTCCAAATCAACATTCAGTCCTATACCTCTCCAGGGCAGCCGCCGCTATCAGCCATAGCTCACACCTTTCCAGTTGGAACAGGAGGGGGCCTAGGCCCGCCCTCACTCCAGACCCCAGCCCAGGACCCTAAGGATAGGAACCCTCGTTCCTCTCCAGTTGGTGGGGGTGCCCCTTAACTCACCAACCCACAGGCTCCGAATGCCTCCTGGGCTACTTCCTCCCATCTGTCCGTCCCCCTTCTGAGTCATCCGCCGTCTCCTCAGCCAAGCCACTCCTCTCCCCTCTCCGACGTCCAGCGTCCACCCTTTTGAATGCCCGCGTTTCTCAAGCCCCGCCCTTCCTCCGTCCCGGCCCCTCCCCGGGCGCCGGGGCACACAGCCATTGGCTGGGGCAGTGCACGTGTGCGCCGCGGCTGAGCAGGCCTCATATTGCCTCCATCCCAGGGTGGCCCTTTCGCCGCTGAGGGCTTCCAGACCCCCGTGGTGAGTGCGGGAGCTGGCTAGCCCCGGTGGCAGGGGGTTCGCCGCCCCATCACAAGGGGTAAGTGATGTTTTTTTACTACAGGTCTGTCCTCCCTGGACCTGCCCCCTCAGGACCTGAGTGGTCCCAAACCAGAGTTTGCCAGACCAGGGGAGCTCAAGGCACCTCTCCAGCTGTCAGCGCTGCTCCTGGCTGGGGCTGCACTGCCTGCCAACTGTCCTGCTGCCTCCAACCCATTCCTTCCCCTCCCCCTGCCATGCCAGCCCTGGCCAGCGCTGTGTTTCCCAGTGCACTGATCCGGACTGCAAGCCCTGCTGCTTCCAGCCCCAGCTGGGGCTTCACTCCCCACCATCAGCCCCAACCAAAGCTGCTCTCCCCACCTCACCAGCCCCGCCCGGGCTGCACTTCTGACTCTGACCACCCCCACTCCCAGCCAGGCTCTCTGGCC